CCTCCCTTGTCCAGCCCAATACCCGCCGATCAGGCCGAACCCCCCTGCCCAGCTCAAACCAGCCCACTATCCCCACTACTCACCCCATGGTAACCCGATCCAAAGTCGGCATATCCAAACCCCGACACATCCTCAACCTTAACTCCATGGCCCACATATCCCCTCTCCCACCCACCTATCGTAGTGCACTTAAGGATCAAAACTTGTATAATGCTATGTGTGATGAATTTAATGCTTTGATTAAAAACGAAACATGGGAATTAGTGCCCCCCTCCGCCGCCCAAAATGTTATCACCGGCAAGTGGCTTTTTCGCCACAAATTTGGCCCTACAGGTGAACTGTCCAGGTACAAAGCTCGTTGGGTGGTTCGTGGATTCAATCAGCGCTTTGGTATCGACTATGACGAGACTTTCAGCCCGGTCGTCAAACCTGCCACAGTACGCATCGTTCTCACACTTGCACTCAGTCGCGGGTGGCCTATCCATCAGCTAGATGTCAAGAATGCCTTTCTGCATGGCACCCTTCACGAGACAGTCTATGCTAGCCAGCCATCCGGCTTTCAGGATCCAGCCCGGCCGAATTATGTTTACAGGTTGAAGAAGGCCCTCTATGGCCTTAAGCAAGCCCCCCGCTCCTGGTACCAGCGATTTGCAGGTTTTCTTCTTACTTTGGGGTTCCGCGGATGCAAGAGCGACACAGCTCTCTTTGTCTTTTCTCAAGGAGCCGACATGGCCTATCTTCTGCTTTATGTGGACGACATTGTCCTCACTGCTTCCTCCACCGCCCTTCTCACATGCCTCACTCAGAAGCTTAAAGGGGAGTTTGCCATGACAGATATGGGGGATCTCAATTATTTCCTCGGGATCAGTGTTCAGTGCACGGCGGGAGGCCTCTTTCTACACCAGACTCAGTTTGCACACGAGATACTTGGGGCTGACATGCTTCACTGCAAGCCCATCTCCACCCCGGTCGACACCAAGGCAAAGCTGTCAGTCACGTCTGGTACACTTCTTCCGGACCCCGCCGTTTACAGATCTATTATTGGTGCTCTACAGTATCTGACTTTCACACGTCCTGATCTCACCTATGCCGTACAACAGCTCTGTCTTCATCTCCATGCCCCACGCAGCTCTCATCTCACAGCTATGAAAAGAGTCCTGCGCTACATCCATGGTACTGCTACCCATGGCATCACTCTTCACCGCACAAGCACAGATTCTTTACAGGCTTATTTAGATGCTGATTGGGCAAGTTGCCCTGACACCCGTCGCTCTACTTCAGGGTATTGTGTCTTTCTTGGGGACAATCTCATTTCCTGGTCTTCCAAGAGACAGGCTACTACCTCTCGCTCCAGTGCCGAGGCAGAGTATCGCGCTGTAGCAAATGCGGTGGCGGAGACTAGCTGGATCAGAAATCTTCTCCTTGAGCTTCATCAACCTCTTCCACGCGCTACTCTGGTATTCTGTGACAATGTCAGTGCTGTATATCTTTCGTCTAATCCCGTTCAGCACCAGCGCACCAAGCATGTTAAAGTCGACATTCACTTTGTTAGAGACAAAGTTGCCCTTGGTCACGTTCGGGTCCTACATGTCCCCTCCTCCTCTCAGTATGCTGATATCTTCACCAAAGGGCTCCCGTCTCTCTTATTCTCTGACTTCAGACACAGCCTAGGCGTTCGACCATCTCCGGTCACGTAGTTGGGCGCATGTTAAATATAGTATGTATATATTTAATATTAATTGTGTAATCATTGTATACATGGTAGTTTACTTGTATAGGAATCCTTCCGTAATTAGGATCTTCCTGTATTATATATACGAGGCTTAGCCCTCCGTTCATAATATAGAAAATAATAATTCTTGACTAACAATCACTTAAAAGATCTTTAGAATTTCTCATTAATGTCTTTAAAATTGTAAGAGTATACAAAAAAATTTAGTTAGGCTCCATTCCGTTCAACTTATTTTTTCTGATCTGATCTGATTTCAATAAGTTCTGATCTGATCTGATTGGATTTGATCTGATCTGATTGGATCTGATCTGATCCGATCGGATTGGATCTAATCTGATTTGGTCTGATTTGATTTGGTCTCATCTGATTAGATCTGATCTCATCTGATCTAGTCTGATCTGATTAATTATGATTTGATTTAAAATTCAAATCAATAATTTTGATTTGACTTTATAATAACGTTTGAAAATTGTAATGATAATTCATATTATAATATAATCAATATTTTTTATTTAATGATTATTTTTTAATAAAATAAAATTAGTGAATACATATATTAGAAAAATCATTCATATTATAATGTAATAATATTTTTTATTTTATGATTATTTATTTTAAAATCAGAATATTAATTTAATATTTTAAGAATTACTTCATATATACATTAGAATAAATATTTAATTTATATATACATTAAAAAGTAATTAAATTTAGATAATCAATATATAAAAGAGATAATATTTTTATTAAAATATCTCATCCTTATAAAAGATCAAAACTTTAGAAACTCAAATTACAAGTAGCAATAAAAATATATTTTAAAAGTACAATTAGATTGACATTGTCAATGTATTTTAAAACTAATTTTTCCGACGTCTAATAATTAAGAATTATTTTCTCAATTTGTAGATCTTTTCATATACTTTTAAATGATGTAATTTTTATTTTTTATTACTCTACCAATTTGAAATTAAATTGATTTTAAAAAGATGATATTTTGCACGTCGTCCGAAGTGTTGTAAATAAATTGGGACGGAGAGTATCAACCTTTGGATACGGCAATGCTCTGCTATCAAGCATTTTTTACTATAGCAACATTTGACCAAACATAGAACTCGACAGAAATTGGCTACACATACCAAGAATTTGAAAGCTAATGTCTAGTAAAGTTTCATTCTTAAATGGGTGTACCGGGAGGAAATCGTAACATAATAAAATAGTTTGTAATGCTTATTAATCTGTTTTAAAAATAAATAATATTTTCCTACAATTGTGAAATCACTCTTCAATAGCCCAGCCTCCACCACTGATGATCAACAAACAGGTGAAATACTACCTTCCGTATTCTGCAAAAAAAAGCAACTTTAAACAAATGGTAAATGACTAAACAGCAAGATTACTAACCAAGAAGTTATTTTGCTTTGTATTGCATGTCAGACATTGTATTAGCCATTGGTAAATAACTTGTATTTCTTGACATTATTTTATCTTAACTACCATATCATGAATGCTTCAATTACTGTTACGGTAACAAAATAATATACATCCTCCAAAAGAGTGGAATATAGAACCTTTGTTAAATTAGGTTGGTCTAAGTATATGCTTAAGCTACAGATTTTACTGCCTTCCCCGCCATTACCCTTGCTAGAAAAGATGCACAAAATTGGTGGTTAAGAATGTAAATGCACGGTTAACAAAGCAAAATTAGAACACAGTAGCCAATTCACAAATATCCTGCAGCAAATGTCTTTAAGCTGGATAATAAACAAATATTCGTACATAATAATTTTTTAATCTTTGAAGGAAAAAAACTGCATACATATCAAATCTAACACTAGCCAAGGGAACTAACAGTGTTAGCCTAAACATTTTGAAAAACCCAATACAAAAACCCAATAGAAAAAACACATTCTACATGCTCTACATTTTGATGTACACTGGGAAATGATGTTGTGGGTCTAGAGCTGTTCTTCAGTCCAAGACTAGGCCAAAAATGAGAAAAAAAAGCTATGATTTATTTTATATCATCATGTGCAGGAACAGGATGGATTTTGTGTTTTGAATATTGTTTCTTAAGAGCTTTAGGCTCCTTCTCACTCTCTTGTGCATATTTTCATATATTCTCTAAAATATTAATTCCTTCTCACTGTAATAAACCAAGCTTATCTTTTAAACTTGTGTCCTCCTCCCCTCTCAGCCTTTTGAACTGCACAAATGCTGAGTGACTCCACACATACCAGGTCATGCCTAATTGAGTGTAAAAGATTTAGACCCAGTTTGGTATTGGGACTGTTGTGGCATCTTAGCCACTGTGCCTTTTTCTTAACAATAGTTTTTGTGCAAAAAAAGGAAAAAACAATGCTTTAGGTTGAGAACTTCAATACACCTTAAAAGATACTACGTAAAACATAAAAAACATCATTTTTTAAGTTTTTAGCTAGAAGTGTGGATTATATATGAAGATCTTTATAGTAAAATTCCACTTCTTTATTTCATTTCCATTCATGCTATGCCAGGATAATAGGCTTTTATTTCAAATTCTAAGTTTGAGCAAAAATTCTCTAGCCGGGATTCCAAAAACTATGAGTTAAGATTTAGTCCAGCTACAACTCGGCTGTTTTAAGGAATTAACCTTTGGAAGTGTGTAAATCAATTATGAAACAACTTTTGAATTTGCACAAAATCCATCCTGTTCATGCACATGAGATTGGAAAGGCAACTAGCATAATACATTGTTGGTATGTGTCTTTGCATTAAAAAAAGTGCGAGCTTCTTATAATATATTGGCACTATCAATTTAAGAATAATGATAGGGGTTGGAAGGTTGGGAGAGGATGGATGTGATTTTTGCACCATATCCCTACACAGTAAACATAAACAATAACTTAATAAGGACACAGAACCTAAACCTTTACCCAACCAATAACTTAATAAGGGCACAGAACCTAAACCATTTCTAATAACTTCTTCCCACATCTTTTTGGGTCTCCCATCCTTCTTATGCACAACCCATTTGTCCATTCCTCAAGTATTCTAACCGGTATGTCATTAAGCCCAAGACTATAAAACAAAAAAAAAAGCCACAAAGCAAAACCCCACTATTACTAGGTATTACCTACAAGCCTAATTACCCAGAGCAAGAGGATACCTGGCAACCCACTACCCTACAAGGCTACAACTATCAGAATAGTGCATACACCATTGATGCAACATATCCAATCAATTCCAAAAGCCAAATAAACAAAGACATGAAATAAGAGTGGATAGCATTTCACTATTTTATAACAGTTAATAGTGAACAAAATCCCTAACCTGTAAATTTTTTTTTACCGAATCTGATTCACCTGGTAAATTCAAAAATATGTTTTTTTTCAGTCTATGGCATTTTTTTTCTTTCTGACACTCTAAGGTGATGGTGAATGAATGAATGTGTCTCTATTTTTTACTCCTTTTTTGGCATTTGATCTTTTTATCTGGCATATATAAAGGCTGAAGGCTCATATATTTCTCCATCTATGTGAATCATGTAGAGCATTCCAAAATGAAAAAGAGGTGCGACGGGAATTTGCCAATGACTCGATATAATCTGGTCAGTTTACACTTAAAATCACACATTCCTAACTCCAGTATCTTCAACTTTATGATAAGTTAAATGCACTTAACTGGCTGTAATGCTAAGTGTGGATGCAGGTCGAGGAGGATGAGATGAGCACTAACACAAGCTTCAAAGGAAGCGGCAGTTATACCTATGCATCATCAATGACAGATGAGTGTGAAGCCCCCGGGGGTGGCGATGCTTATGGGCTTGGATCCATTGCCTCCATCATCATCATCAAACTTATCGCAGTTGTACTCAAGCACTCCATTTTCTGAACCATGTTGGCGATCAAGAAACCAAAAGGCGATTGTGACACCAATTCACAAGTTCTGAACTGAGATTTTGCCTCCCAAATCTGCCAAGCCAATACCAATCACTCACCACAAGTTTCTCTCGCCTATCAAGAGTGCATCTTCCATCCTGCCTGAGAATGCTGCCCAAATCATGGAAGCAGCAGCTAGAATTATCGAGCCCAGTGTGACAACTAGACCAAAATTTCCATCTTTGGGTGGTTCTTGTTTGGCTCCCTTGAAGGTGAGAGACCTTAAAGTGAAAGTCGAGTCGGCTTCTAGAAGGGTTAGTGGAACCAATACCACGATATGTCTCAACAGAAGTACATCGAAGGAGAGGGTTGTTGTTAGTTCAGAGTTAGAAGAAAGTTATGGTGGGACGAAATCTAAAGGGAAGTCAATTTCTTTAGCACTACAAGCAAAGGAGAATGTGCTAAAGAGGGAGGGATTGAATAATGTTTCTAGCGCGAAAGAACCAAGCGATCTATATTCAAAGCAGATCATGCAAAGAAATAACATTCAAAAGAAACCATCATCTGCAGTTAGTGTTCTTAGGCAGAAAGAACAATCAAAAGTAGAATTGCTCATCCGATAGAAGAAATCCATCTTCAAAGCCACAAGGAAAAAGAGCACTCACCAGAGATTCTTCTTTTTCTCAGCATAAAACTTCAAAAATGAAAAACAGTGCTGGAAGCTTAAAAAAACCTAGGGTGTCTTTTGGTAAAAAAAATTGTGCTCTATTTATGTTTATGTTTTCACTTTTCGGAAAACAGAAACTGTAAAAGACATATGGCATTAACATTTATGTTTCCCTTTTTAAAACCAAACATAAAGTTTCATTGTTTTTAAATTATTATAAAAACAATATATTTACCACTTAGATATGCAGTAGCTCCCTTTTAAACCTTTTAACAATATTTCACTACATTGCAATTGATATTTTTAGGCTAAAATCCACCATTGGTCCTTCAACTTTATCAGTTGTGCACAATTGGTCCTTCAAGTTTCAAAAGTCCATAAATAGTCCTTCAACTTTATGAGTTCTGCACCATTGGTCCTTCAAGTTTCAAAAGTCCATAAGTAGTCCTTCAGGTACACGCCAGCCCTCCATATGAAGTCTTTTTGACAGTAAATATTAAATGTTAAACAAAATACTAGTTTCATATAATACGAGTAAATTCCACTAGGTACGATTACTCCATATTATATGGAGCTAGTATTCCATTTAGCTTTTAACATTTACTGTCAAAAGGACCTCATGTGGAGGACTTACGTGTACTTGAAGGACTATTTATGCACT